GTCTTATTCTGGTGAGATCGATCTACGAATCACTTCATCCGTTACTTTCACACAGAATTAAAGTAGCCCCAAAAACAACTTTAAAGAGATCTTACATAAAGTTAGAATGGTGTGATGTTTCGCTCTAAGAACTCAATTACAGGTGAATGAATGCTCAATGGGGCTATATACTTTTGATAAGCCAGAATACTATATATAAACTATACTGGTGGTGGTAAAAACGATGGCATAAGGATAGAATACGATAGCTCTTAAGGCTCAAAAAATAATTAATCGTGAGTATTGTGAAGACAATTAGGCATAACTAATGGAAAAATGTTAGTTTAAAGTTACTTATCTAAACTTTTTTTAGATTTCATGCTGTGATGTTAGTAAAAAATAAAAAATAGGTGTAAAATGCAAAATTATAAAAGATACTATAGCTTATACTATAGAACATATATAGTATCCTTCACAGCTTGTCAACTCAATATTTTTGCATGGAATTCATTTTTTTCACTGTCATATATAACTTTAATTGTGTTCAAAACTATTAAGATATACGATATATGAGCATGGTTCACCGTAGATCGCTTTGGGTTTTTTAAGCCTGCCATTTTAGTTGTATGCCGTTGAATGTGTAGTAAGCATCAAAATGTCATTAATCTTCGCTTTGCTTTGCTTCTTGAAAGCTTCCTAATCCAAGTGGGGCGTTTAGGTCTTACTTTAAATGTATATCGTAGGAAGCTGTATGAAGATTACTTTTTCATCCGTTGCTTAAATCAGTTATCGCCAACGAATCTTACAAATCCTATCCTCTAACCTTTCTTCTATATTTGGGACTTGCGATCTCAGTGAGGCATTAGGCCCTAGCCACTTTTCACATCGACAATCACGATCATGCATATCAAAGATGGAATAGATCGCTCCATATGCCATCACCACTTTCTGATCGATGTAGGCCACACTCAGTTCACAGCTAACCTGTGGAAGGACTAAATTTCTCCTCAAAGAATCTTTGAGGTGGTGAGCACAAGATTTATATTTTTGCATCTAAATGTGGATGTAAAAATTCAGTCCGGAAATACCAAGTTTGATGTATGGAAAATACAAAAGGCCCCCAAACTCTGTCATCATACCGACAGCATAAGTGAGGCTCTAGCTTCAATTTTCCTGCTAACCTTAAATCCTTGGTCGGGTTAGGGTATGTGTAAGAGAGCTGGACTTTGTTTTAGATTCTGATATAGCATTTTCCTTAACCCCCCTATCTCTCTCGTAGCCAAACAAGGTATGGAGAGGTTTTGTCAGCTATTCTGTGCAGACTCCTCCCAGGATTGGATTTAATTACACTCCTCCTGAGCAACCATGATTTCAATTAAGTGTTTAAGTTATTTTATTTCCCCGAGTGTATCTAGTTGAGTAGGATCTTGCTGAGGAGGGGGAGATAAAGTGGTCCTCTGCTTTCCTAGCGGGATTTATAATGTTCCTCGTGGGTAGCATGAAATTGAAAATAGGCCGAAATGCTAACAGAAAGTTTTAAGGTAGGCATGATCAAAAATACTAATTTGCATTAATCTTATTTCGCGTGAAAATGCTTGGAGAAGAGACTATTAAGTTGCTTCCATCAGTTATCACTAGTACTTACTCAATAATATTAACCAGCCCTCTGTTATATGCAATATATATCCACAACTAAAAAATAGTCGAAAATATGCAATGATGGATAGGCAATAATTTGATTAATTTCAGTCCATGTTATTCTAAATACCCGTGTGTCTATATGTGTGTATTTGTGTGTGTGTGTAGGATATCACTAATTTTATTTTAAATGGTAGAAATCTCAGTTCAGAAACTTCAAGTCTTGCTACCGAAAGAAGGCATGAGGACGATTGTATAATCCCGAGATTACGTTTGGCTGATTTGGCCGGCAAGCCAAACTTTTGGAACGATTATGAATGTGGTTAGCATTATTACTGTACCGAACAGCCGAGTTGCCCTCTTTTCGTTGACCCACAAATCTTTTCACCAGGTAATATCTTCGCAGCAATTTTACACCGAGAGATTCATCGAGACACATTCAGCTTAAGATTATGTAAAGATAATGCGAAGAGGGCTAACGCGAGTCCAGGAATATTGAAAGACTTTTCTACCTTTCATGCCCTCTCTATATAGATCAAAACTAAACCCCAATTAAAAATGTTAGTTTTGCAGTTACAAGAATGAGTAACGCTAACATGTGCCCCCAAAACTTGCAAAAATACCGTCTTGCAAGGATCAAGTCCGTGTAGCATGAGTAGACCTTGCAATACCAAGAATACGACAATTTACGGGCTTATAGCCTGATCGAATAGAGCTGAAGTTGAGTGATGGACTGGCCGTCCATTATCAGCTTAAATGAAATAGCGTAAATTGAGCTTTTTAGATAAGATCTACTGACAGTTTAGAAAATCCACCTATAAGCCAAATTGTTTTTTTCCATCACAATCAACGATACTACTCATTACAAAATGAGTACGTTTGGAAATTATTAGCTCCTGTGTAAGTATCAAATTTGATGAAAGATTTTATTCAAAAACTCCTGATGGTATAGAAGCTTCTCCGTTTTGTACGAAGTAATGTCGTCGATTTTAGTGATGAATCTAAGGCCAGTCCAATTAGTGCTGTGTGAATTGAAAAGGGCTTGACTTTGCCTTAACGTCGCATCTAGTCTATGGCCCAAGGTGGGGTGGTAAAAATGCCATTTGACCCTCAGTATCCATTCCGAATCCTCTTGATGAGGCTTACTCGGCCTATACAGCGTCGAGCTTGCCATTCAGTTCGGATGAATGAGCAATTTGGGAGATTTGCTGAGAACTCCTGCCCATGTCACTGTGAGAGACCTGAGTAACAATGCTTAAACCACTTTGAACGATTTAAGCTGGCTTGAGTTTATGCAAAGGCTTTATAATTCTTGCTAAAATACAATTCCTTAGCATATATCCCACATTATAAAGATGAGGTAAAGGCTGGTTCCTTTAATAAGCTACTGTGAATTGGTGTTGCATTTCAAAGAAAAATTGTTTGTAATCCATTCCTAAATTGGCCTCGCCGTAAAGTGAAGGATGGCTGCTTTGGGGTGGATAAAGTTGGATTTTGCGAGACCATCCTCTGCTTACATTTCTGCGACTCTAATGAACACTTTCTGAATCGCACGACGGTGAGCCAAGTATTTATTCACACAATTCAACAATCTCCACTTCAGAGCCATCCTCCTTCGGTTTCCGTTAAGACCAACTCACGAATCCCTTACAAACAACTTTTCTATCAAAATGAAAATCCTTTTCATATATTCCAATTTTTTATTTCCTTAATATCCATTTAAGCCACGCATTCCAATCCTCTACTGTTTAGGGAACAGATCATCAAATTAATATGTCATGAATTCCATATATTTGCGCACACTTTCCTCGGGAAGGTACATGTCACCTAGTCGGTACCATCCGCTAACCGGGCTCTAGAAAAGATTCATATAAAGCGGCCTGACAATCAGGGGGTGGAAAGCTACGCCACCAAGGTGTAAATGAAACTAGAACCTGAGTCTTCGCTTGCCCTATAGCTTCACACACACACACACAACTGTCCTGCCTTCATACTTTCCTACAACTGGGCTGGAATCGAAATCACAGTTTCCTTAAACTGGGCAAATTACGTACTGGTTCACCATGCTCTGGCTAAAATTAGCCTCTTGGTGGGTTCCATTTTAAATTGAATGTAGGCGTCTTCAGGCCGACATCTGTAAGGAAAACACAGCAATGAAAAAGTTTTTTTTCTCATTTCTTCACTTTACTTCATAAAGAGTATATTAAGTGTCATCAGAAGATGAGTATGGTAGTGTAAAAGTTGTGTCTCTAGGTCGGAAAAATACGGAAAACGAATACTTCGCAATTCTTGTTTAAGCGTAGCTAAAGTCAGCCAGGACGAAATCCTTTTATCTCTTATTCCCGGCCAGTTTAAGAAAATGGCCATTTTTGGGAAATAAATAATAAATCTGCATCAATGAGCTGCTTATTGGCTGACTAGTATAAGAGCGTTGTACTTTGCGCTTGACCATGTTATTAATTGTGTTTATGAAGCATAAATACAGATACTATAAATATGTAAATAATGCATTATTTTAGCTGCATGAGACAACATTTCGTTTCAAGCCTATTCATCCGACTGCCCAAGTAGTCTATGAAGCTCGTTGAATGAAGAGCACATTCCATTTCGAGTGTAAGCATGCATGATAAAGAGCTTCCAAGGTGGATTCCCCCAGAAGACAACGGCATATTCAGCCTGACCAGCTGTCGTTTGGCTTTTTATGGAACGTTATTGTTGACGCTGTTGCCCAGTCTACCTTTGATTCGAATAAAAATGTGCCAAGATTTTCCCATCATATGACGGAGAGCTGATAAGGGTATCATTCTTACAATTCTAATCAAGTTAATGGTGATAATAGAATAAGCTGATATGATAAATAAAAACTGGAATCAAAGAAGATTACTTCTGGAACAGCATCAGCAATAAGGTTCTGGGATAATCAACCGACAGCCAAAGACTAGAAATCCGTTGTCGTCTCCTGGGTGGATCCACCTTTGAAACTATTAATCCAATAATTTCGCTCAAAATGCAATTGAGTTCAACAATTTTAAACCCAATATTTCTTAGTATACACTTTTAATTTGGTCGACAATTGGACACTTAGTCTCTCATTCTTGAAATGGCAGAGATTTCGGCTGAACCCGCTCTATCGACAAGCCTTCTGACCGAATTTTGGATTCGGTGAAGATGATTCGGTGACGGATATTTCGAGTTGAGCTCCTCCCCAACGTGTCATTCATTCGGAATCAGCTATTCACACGCATTAGCCAAACAAGCAACCTATCACCTGTCAGAAATACCACCAAGTGTTCGATGTGATGTCAAGAAAGAGGGAAAGATCCCCAGAACTGAAGCACAGAAAAGTGTTCTTGTTCATCTTCTCTTTACCTACAACTTGGCTATTAAGCCAAAAGTGGGCCCTCCAACTCACGGTTCACTTGCAGCCGCCGTCCATTGTCCAAACTGCCTCCATTAAGCCTCGTAAGACGACCACCGGCTCGGCTTCGTAAGTCAGTGCCCGTACCTTGCCAGCTCAACTCAAGCGAACAGGACGAGAGGATAAATTGTCTGGCAAACGCAACTTTGGATGTGACAATAACAAATTGTGTGGACATACGTAAAAGCCCGCTTCTCTCGCTTTTCCAGGGCGGCATTAATTGCTTTCAACACTTGCTCAACTGAGCTGAGATGAGACCAGACGTACAATGCCTATCAACTCACCACTTCTTCTTTGGGTTATGGGACAAAACTGGCGAATCGACCTTATCGCCTGAGCGATGAGAGTCTTGACAACCCCTTCTTGAGCTTAAGTAGCAGTACTTCAACAGGCTCCCCAAACCCAGCCGTCATGACAACTAATCTGGTGCAGAAGACCTGCCTTAATCGCTTATGAAGCTACTTTACAAATCGGAAACTAAGCTTTGTGCATAATTAACTCGTGCGAGTCTTTCAAGCTCTTTCTTTCTCTATTTCACACATATCATCTGTACGCCTATACGGAAACTGCCTCTGTCTATTTATGCGTGTGCATTTATATTCAACTTTTTTTGTCGACCTGAGGCCCTGCTTGGTCCAGCCAAAAGTCGCGATGATTCAAGTTGATGCACAAATCCTCTTATCCGCCAGATGGAGAGTGTACAGATTGAGTTCGAGGGCTTAGCAACACATTTGAGTCACTACTTTGTCAGATTGGGCGTCCACCAAATTGCCTAGTCAAAGAAGCTCTTGTCTTTCCACTTGCATCACCAAGGGCCATCAATAAGACGGCATTAGCTACGGGGCTTTTGAGAATCCGGAGATAGGGAGAATTTTTTCATTGGGCACAAAAATGAAAGATAAATAGACGCCAACAGGATACGGGAAACAGGGCTGATTGCAAATATATAAAATAATAATACTAATTTGATTGCATTTTTCACTCTGAAAATATCTGTATATTCGTACTGACTGGATCTTCATAGTCCCTTTCCGAGAAACAAAGACAACCAAAAGGACATTTCCTATAACTAATTTCTCAAATAGGATAAATATAATTTTAAAAAGAAATAAAATTCAAGGTACCACTAAAATCTCCATTTAACCTTTTTCTTACTCTTCCCTGTATTCATGTCTTTCTCATCCTGCCCACACTTCTCATTCCCCACCTACTGCTCATCCTTCTCCCTCCCTTTCTCTCCTCATCTCACTTTTCCTCCTCCCTCTTATTCTGCTCCACCCTCCTCCTCATCCTGGATTGTACTATCAAAATACATGTATCTTCTACTCATGAGTAGAGCACTGGTATCATGCTCTATCGCAGTCTGCTGCGAAATGTTATGTTATGTCACCACCCTTCTACGTCCTGTAAACTAGCGCTCTTTGTATGATGAGATTTCTTTGCAGGTTGCCATCGATGAAGGGATCTAATGAATCAGGTACTTTTCGGCTGAATAAGTGTAAAGAAGGGCTCTTTGCTTCCTTGCAATTTGTTGTGGTGATTGGAGGATTGGAGTATAAACTATCAGTTCCAAAAAATGTTCCTGACAAATAAAGTCTAAAGAACCACCATATTCTGATATTTTGGCATAAGTCAGATGTCATATTTTGCTCTCTGTTTGGCTCACATTGATTGACGAAAATCTCAAATTAAATTAAAGGACTATGCAAAACCTTCAGTACATGTTGGCCTATATGGAATGCCCCCATAAGCATGATGTTCGTCTGACTGATGAATATTTGTGCAAATAAGTCC